ATAATAGTAGTAGTAGTAGTAGTAGTAGTAGTAGTAATAGTAGTAATAAAGATAATAATAATAATAATAATAATAATAATGATAATAATAATAATAAAATTAAAATAATATAAAAACCCTTGTGTTTTTCTCGCTTACAGGCGCCTTTCTGTCTGATCCTGTCCCCAAAAAGACAGCTGAAAGACAATGACGTCACCACGGGTTCCTCCTGATGGAGGACGACGTGGCCCACCACCAACGTCATCGGGCCGTCTGACCACACTAGACCAAACTACGTCATCACTAGTGGCCCAGTCTAGATCCTTCGCCTCCAGACCCAATGGAGACGTACCACAGGCAGCGCCCACTATTGGCGGCACAGCAGATGACAAAGGGAGCAACCAGGGCGCGTCATCGTCCAATGAAGATAACTCCAGCGGCTGGTTGGCGAATATGATGGTGGCGAGAATGAAAGTCCCCGACCCGGAGGCCTCCAACGACGGTGATGTCGCCTCTCAAGGGGAGAAGGGCACGATTCTTGGAAAACTGTTTTCCGGGAAATCCCGAGTGTCCCAGTCGAAGGACACGCCCTCAGGTTCTGGGAGACAAGCCGACAAGAAAGGAGGAGGCGGGGCAAGAGCTGGGCAGGGGAAGAAGGAAGACAAAGACAAGAAGCCAGTTTTGTCAAAGGCATTTGGATTGTTTTCCAAAACCAAAGACGGACCAAGACGTGAGGACGAGGAGTTCAAAAGAGAAGTAGCCAAAGAATTAAGGAGGAGAACTGAGAACTATGGGTTTGGCGTGCACGCTACGGAGGCTCACAACAGAGGATCCAAGACGAATAATCCTCCAGTTCAGAGTTCAGCCAGGCCACCACCCAAAGCTCACACACCTACAAGCACATCTAGCTCAGGTCACAGTCGGAAAACCAAACCGACTCCATCACCTGCTAAGAGAATCTCCAGTTCGAAGAAAGATGAGGGAGCGAAAGCTTGGTTAGATTTTGCAGTCACGCCAGCAGGTACAAAATCATCTTCAGAAATAGAACGGAAGAAAGCAAACTTTTTCTTAAATCTGAAAAAATCACATCATTTACCTTCTACTTCTGACACAAATACTTCTACAGTGACTACTGGACAAAATCTCAGCGGTACAGCAAACCCAGAACCTCCTAATGAAATGCAAGGTCAAAGTTCATCGATAGAAAACGTCACGCCCGACACTAATGGCAGTCTTGCGGATGGTGCAACAGTGGCACCAGAATCAGCTTCGTCTACTCAGCCCCAGCTTCCCCAAAAAGACAAAGGCAAATCTAAGACTGGCAGACCTTTTCTCCACAAAGATCAAGTAAGTAATGAAAATCTACCAACAGCAATAAGTGGGAGCTCGTCTTCCATAGGAAAATCGGTGACTTTTGTGAACGATTTGGAAACGACTCCGTCTACCACTGGTCGAGAAAAAATCAACAGGTCTCCTAAACCAAAAGCTACTGTTCTCAGACCTACGCATGCCGAGAAGGGCATGTCTGTGAAGCGCGTGGTGTTCTTTCAAAACAGATTTATTGTATTAGAAAAAACTGAAAAGCCCCAATCACCGAAGAGAATGATATACACGGACAAAAACGCCCCTCCAACTCCCAGTATTTCCGACAGCACAGTCTCTGGTACCACAAGTGTAACACCTTCCCCTGCTACAATCGACGCGCCCCATGAACATTCCAATGTCGCAGACGCATTTCTTGCCGCCGTAGCATCCTGTGGTGTTAAAGTTGTTACTAGAGCCGATGTTTCTGGCGTGCCGTCATCCAGTGCCAACGGTAGAATTCCCCACTCTGAGCAAGAAGATGAGCAAAATGAAAGGAAAGAAACTCGCCCGCCTGTCCCATCTCCTTCTTCTACCACGGATCAGAGAAATATCAAGGCTAATCCTACGGTTACCGTGGAATTTCACGGCGGTGTTACAGGGGACAACACTAGACACTCGTCTCGTTCGACCAATCAGATCGGGCGAGTGGAGGATTTAGGAATCGATCCGCGCCCAGGGCCAAGTCTGGCGTCTAGAGGAGACACAAACAGTAGCAACAACGTAGCCTCGGTGTCGGGGGTGTCTGGTAGAAAATCTGGACAATCTAAAAATCCTTCAACGATAAGGGAAGAGAAGAATAAGAAAAGCGGAGACTCGCACAGAGCGAAAACGGGGCGGGTTTCAGATGACAGTTCGAGCTCGAAACAACGGCAGGTCGACTTGACAGTAAAAGGTCAGAGTTCACAAACCGTTGTGCCCAGACCCGGCACCAGCACAGGCAGCACAGATCCAAAAGGCCAAAGAAAGGGCGATGGAAGCCCCAGGTGTGGAGGGAAAATGGACAGCCGAAAATCACCACCCCGTGAGCGACATTCTTCGTCACAGAATACGATAACATTTCTCGATTCTGAGACTGTGACCAAAGAGAGAGACGGCCAAAGCCGTGCTAACCCCCGTGGACAAAAGAGGCATTCTGTGGATAATGTTTCGAACACTCGCGGCACAAACGTACAAGATCCGTATAGAAGAGAAAACACCAAATCCGATGTCAACAAAACTAGAGTTGAAAGTAGTGACACCCCTGTCCATTCTCCTCAGGGAAACTCACCAAGCGGTCCACGCAATATATGGGAGAGACGTGGGCAAACGTTTGTTCTGAAGGCAGTAGACGTAGCTCAAGACGAATCCACGCCAAAGGAAGAAGAATACGAAGAAGAATTTCCACAGTTTTCGAAACACGCAGTTCATTTTGAAGGATACAAAACGGCATTTAGAAACATTCTTCAAAACAGCAATAGTAATGCATGCTTTGAGACAGCCAGAGATCACCGACTCTCGGAGCTGGAAGATGTTTTTGAAGAAACAGATGGCTTCACATCAGATGAGAATAGTCCCGTTAGCGCGCTCACTTCTGAGCGGGCGAGACAGTCAGATAGAAACGTTCCCCATGACGGCGGTGACAGCCGTCCGCCCAGGCGTCAGATCGAATCACAACAACAACAAGGCAACCGGAAGGGAGACAAGCAGCCGAACGGAAACTCATGTGAACAAAGCGACCAGCAACCCAAGGATTATTTTCATATTCTGCTGGAACCAAAGCCTGACCAGGATGTTCTTAATAGAAAGCCAAAACAGTCACAATACCAACAATTACAACAACAGCAGCAGAAGCAACAGCGGCAGCAGCAGCGATCACAGAGTCACAAGCCCAGCAAGGGCAAACACAGGCATAAGCTCTCTTCTTCGACTCCATCATCTTCCAATGTTCCCTATGATATTCATCATGACAATCATGGGTCCCATCTTCATCATCCTCGAGATCTTCCTGATAGTCATCCACCAAATTCCCACCACGATCGTCGTAACCAGCACACCCATCCCGACCAGTACCATTCACAAACAACCCCATACGAGCTTTCCTCCTCACCACCCCGCAATTTCACACTAAAATCCACACCAGACAAGAAGCGGCATCGACACAGTACTAGCAGTAGTAGTAAATCCAGCCCAACAATGCCTCACATCAAATTTACCGCCTCATCTCCTCCTCGTCCTCTCTCACCCTCCTTTACTTACGCCTCAACCTCACATTCCCCTCCCCTCCCCGATCGTTCTCAACCCGGCGCCACCACCAACAGAGACCCACCTCACAAACAACGGTTATCAGAGAGAGTCAGTTCAACGTCAGTCCCCCCACCCTCCTCCACCTCCCCACTCCACACTCCGTCGCCCGACCACAAAACGATCTCATCGATCGCCACTCGCAGTGAGAGCCATAAGAGAGAAACTGCCAGGGGCGCGAGACAAAGGGCAGCAGACATGCTGGAGAAAACCCGCCAAAATACAGAAACGATCGAGAAAACACGCCAAAGGAATAGTAATGATGATGAGCGAGATGCGAGCGGTACTCCCCGCGATACAGGGCACGACGAAGGTTATGCTTTAGTCCCCGCTCTCGGTGACGTCATATACCAGGGTTTTGCCAAAAGTGGATTTTACCCAGGTGGCCAACAGCAACAGAAGCAGCAACAACAACAACGGCAGCAGCAGCAGGACCTGAATTCTCATGCAATGAGTGCAAATCAGACATCTGGTGAGTCCCACAGTCGAACCGGGAACGCCATGTCACCGAAAGGTCACATAACAGAAGATTCTCATAACCACGATCCCCAACAAGGTCACTCTGGGCACGCCAGCCAAGATGATGTCACTAACAGTTCTACCCGCAGACGTGACAGAACGGAACCATCCCATCATCACCGCTCACGAAGACGCACGCATATACCCAGTGATCACGTGACCGGCGATCCCCAGGACCCACGCGACCAATCACACCACAGTGGCTACAGTCCAGTAACTGATGATTCTCGACACGGCACCCACCGCACTCTTAGGCCTCACAACCATAAGACTCTCGACCACAACCACCACAACCATAAACACTATTATGATAGTGATAATACAAGCTCACACAAACCCTCGCCAGCAGACAACACTGATCACCTTGACCCCATCAACGACACATATTCTTGCCATGACAGTCAATACCCAGTCCTGAACTCTGCCTTGAGAAAACAGGAAACCAATAAGGCCAGTAGAAAGAAAGAGGTATCCAAGGAAAGAGGAAAAGAGAGAAGGTTAGAAGAAGGGATAGGTGATGTGGTGGACGGGGGTTTCGGGGAATGTAGGAAAAGAAGTGTACAGGACGGAAATATAGAAGGTTTGTACAATCAAAATGTTAATAAAAAGGCGACAGAAAAAGAAATGGAAGAAAGCTTAAAAGAAGAAGAGAAGGAAGGAACGAAGAGAGAGGAATTGTATGGTTTAAAGGATGCAATAAAAGAGGAGAAAACGGAAGAAAGGAGAGAAGTGGTACAGGAAGGAAAAGAAAGCTTGGCTGAGGTATGGAATGAAGAAGTGTTAGAGGTTGGAGAGAACATAAAGAAGAAAAAAAAGAAGAAAAATATTTTTCTGTTTAGAAAGAAAAAAGTTGTAAAAGAAGAGAAGAAAGTGGGGTCAATGTCATCCCCCAGAGCTGATCCCCTCTCCCAGTGTCAAGTAACTGACGTAAGTGAACCTGTGGCGAGTACTTCATCCAGCTGCTCGATGGGGCTTCACGACAAGTCACGGCTCACAACAGGTGAGAGTAATAGCCATAAATCTGGCCAGCCTCACGAACAACCACTGAGGCTGGGGGTAAGGCGGAGGAGGGATGACATTGGGGACCAGATGATGGATAACGGTGAGATGACGGAGAGTCGAGAGGCAGGCAGAGGTGAGCAGCAGCTGATAACGAGGCATATGAGGGACAGGAGAAAGGATGAAGGAGGAGAAGGGAAAGAGGAGGAATCTCAACGAGACAGAAAACAAAGTAGGGCGATAAATGAAGGGGCTGAAGATAATGAAAACGACGGCAACGAAGTCGAAGAGAAAAATCAGAAACAAAACACACGACGAAAGAAATCACAAATAGACAAAAACAGAGTGAAGGATATTTGTGGTCAACACGGCCCTCAACAGGCAGCCGTAAGGCAGGCCGGACCCGACCGTTCTAGTAGCGCGGAAACTGATGCAGCAGTAGCGGCAGAAGCCGGCGGTGAGCAGCTGCGGTTTGAAGAGCGACGCACAACAGAGTGTGGGCAGACGACGACGACGTCGACGACTGATGTGTCTACTGCTGCCGCCGCCGCCGCCGCCACGAAGACGAAGAGCGACCTCACGTCTGCTACTCACAAACCTGCCCGCGGTTTTCGCGCCGCCGCGCGGGGGAGAGCACGAGAGAGAAGACAAACGCTCCGCGGCGAGGGGGACGCCACTAAGACCTGGCTTGCATCTGTCGCCGACTCTGATTGTGGTGGCCGCCGTGATTCTGAACTGTGTTGTGCTGTTGAGAGTGAGAGACGGCGGGGAGACAACGGAGGGGATACCGGGAAGAGCAGTGACACCAAGAGAGGAGGAAGAGGAGGAGTAGGAGGCGGAGGTGTTGTGTTCATTAGTGCTTGTCATGATAAAGAAGGCTGCGACATCGGCGGCCGCGGTGGTGGTGGTGGTGGTGGTGGTGGTAGTGGTAGTGGTTGTGGGCTAGAGGAAAATACTGAGTCTTTTGTCAAGGATGTTTCGGTTCTGACTGGTGAAGGTAGTAGTTGTGATAAAAGAGATAGTATTCACAGTGTCCAGTTTGATTCTTTGCTTGGTGTAAGTAGTAGTGATAATGGCCTTCGTTCTGGTTGCCAAGGGTTTGATTCTTTAAACAAGGAAATTGGAGTTCCGACGGGATATGAAGCTGGAATTTCATCTTTGGGCAGGAAAAGCAATAGAGATAAAAGGGAAGTTGGTTGTGATAGGTTAACGTTTGATTCTAGCAACGAAAAATGCAACAAGAATTCTGAAAATGCTCAAACTGTACCTTCTTCCGGAATAGAGCATAAAAATATTGGCCTTACGTCTGGTGGGTCCAGGTTCAATTCTCCAAGCAACGAAATATGCGACACGTTAAATTTGAGACGGTTTAACCTCAGCTCAAGACCAAGAGCCGTGTCGCGGGAGGGTTGGGGTGGGATACCCTATTGTTCAGTGCTCGATGAGTTAGGACGGCATAGCGTAGTCTGTGATAGGCGTATTCATGAGCCGATACAATAACACCAAACACCAACAGCAACAACACCATCACCAACTAGAACACTACCACCACCACCACCACCAACCCTATCACCACCACAACCACCATTACCACCACCGCCAAGAACAACAACGACAATGACGACAACACCACCACCAACAACAACAACAACAACAATAACAACAACAAAAAGAACAATAATAATAACAACAACAACAACAACAACACGAGCAGCAACAACTAAAGCATACGAAGGCAGATAGCGACCATAAATCATATTGTAATAAATCAAAAATACGTGCTATCTTTTCGTGTGACGCGAAATTCCATCTCACAAAGCAGTGATAATGGCATCAGACAGAATAAAGCAGTGTTTTTCTGAATTGTAATCATAATAATGATGATGATGATGATGATGATGATGATGATGATGATGATGATGATGATGATGATGAAAATGATATGAAATAAATGATAATGATAATAAAAGTAATAATGATAATATCAATGCAAAGGAAGCAGGCGATCTGGCTTCGGTACCGTATCATATAACAGCGTGTGTAACTCATGAAAGTTTCGTAGCCCCCGACGTGACACCGCTGTTCCCAACACCAAATATGGATGGCGGAATGGATGGGCGGGGCATCGAGATTATTGTCTCAGATGAAAACGACGCACGGGTCTCTACGGTCAGATCCGGCAAGAGGGCGGTTCTTCGACGAATTTGGACGATTCTATTGGATAATCGTGTGGCAGGGCGGCCTGAGAGAGAGCGTGCGCTCCGCCCACACCCTGAGGAGTACCGTGTTCTGAAGCGTGTTCTCAACATCGTGTTCATAACGATTGGAGTGGCTTTATTAATCTCTGTCTTTGTGGTGATCATTTACACGTATGTGGGTGAGTATGATCTGTTTTGGCGTGTATGGTTAAATCAAATTCAGTATGGTTTTTTCGAAATGACTTGTTATACGTCTAGCTGTATGCCCTATTGGATTATGCAATCTCATCAGTCACACAACATGTTCTTTAAAATTCTGCCTTGGAAAACGTTGAAATCTTTTACAAAAATGGCCTATTTATACGTAAAAATGAGCAACAACCCCACTTTTATGCCTGAAAGAGCAACAGCTTAGCGTCTTCTTATTTTTTCTTTTTCTAAATCATGGATGCCACGCCCCTTTTTACATTGTAAAGTTAGGATTCAATAAGAGGCATGGCTGAATAGAGCGTCTGTGGTTTAAGGGTTTGGCGCTTTGCTGTCGCACGGAGGAGACTGGGTTTGATTCACAAATAAGAAAACTATTTTATCAGGTATTTAGGTCGAAAGCTTTCCTTGTGTGTGCTCTAAATTGTGTCTGTGGGATCATAGGAACACTGACATAAAAAAGAACAAAGAGGATGGAGACCCTTTTAATTCCTTTTAATAAACCAAACGCGGCATTGAGTTATTGACAAGGCCACTACACCAACAGCAAAATACCAAATGAACCAACGGCATGCCATGCCCCTTTCTTCTTCAATAGCTTGATTATGTAAAGTTATTTCAACGCTATGTTATAGTTACTCTTCAAGCGCTTATATTAAATATTGTATGGATTCTTGCAGTTGTAAGCTACCTAAAACTTATGTTAAAGCAAACCAAAAGTTAGCAATCAAAGGTTGGATATCCAATTGGATCATGCCGTCTTATCAAGCAAGATCTCTGCCTTGCTAGATGTAATGCCCTTATTAACTTGATCAACAAGTTCTGGTCGCCATTGTAAGGTTGAATCTGATGTGATGTGGTGGATGCCAATATGTTATGTGTCCATCTAGGAATGTTTGCACTCACAGAATAATCTTGTGTGAGAGGTGGGAGCACTCTTTATTTTCTTTTTACCTCCCTTTTCCTTACCCCTTCCTTACCTACCCATATCTGTATCCATCTC